TAAACGTTGGGGGAATCTTTAACGTAAATAGGGGGAAAGCAGGGGAAAAAAAGAAGCAAAAAGTAATGTTTACCCTCACTTAAACTATCGATAACAATTATTTAAGGTGGAAAACTTGCAATAAAATTACACCTTCATTGAAAGAAATGGAAAATTGATTCTTGCTGTACTTTTTCCTTACTGCAATCTCGACAATCGTCGTCTTATCGAGTCCTAATGAGGGAATCAGAGACGACAGTTTCCTCCATTGCCTCATTAGTAACCGATAGCTAAATATAGTCGAGCAGCTTTATCGATTTCCTCAAGGGAAGACGGGAAAGATAAGCTGCTTTTTTTATCTTCCATCCGAGTTCACCATCCGGTGACAGCACTAATATTTCCGGAGTCAGAGAAATTTCTAGATTCCGGATATCATTTTGTCTCCTCGCAGATTGTCAGTTCTCACGGACTCTCTGTAGATCCTCTGATACACACTCTTGGGATTATATATTTAATACAACTCGCTTCTGACTGCAATGAAGTTTTTCTCTATCTAGTCCATCCGCATCCTCCGTGATTTAAAGTTTTTTTTCCTTGTGTAGAAAGTTGGAAGATTTTACTTGGTAAAGTATCGTTTCTACCTGGTCGTTCGAAAATGTCTTCTAGACAGGAGTAGGAGGATGAGGATGACGCTGAGGAGGAGTAAGGGATGTTGGGGAGAACAGACGATGAGATGCGAGCGGTGTGAGATAATTAGAAGGGTGCGGATGATGCTAGAGAAGAATAGAAGAAGAAGAGTAAATGAGAGAGATAAAGGGATGCGAATGATGCAAATCTTACTTTTCAGCAAAAAGTAAGATTTGCAGATGAAGTGAGGGAGTTAGAAGAATGCGGATGATGTTAGGAAGAATGGGAGATGAAATGCTAGAAAGTTATAAACATGAAAATTATGCTAGAGAAGAAGAGAAGCAGACGAAACGAGAGAGATGGTGAGATGCGAATGATGTTGGAAAAGAATAGCAAATGCAGACAAAGTAAAGGAATTAGAAGATGTGGATAATTTTAAAACTATTAGAAGAGTAAAGATGATATAGGTAAATTGGGAGGATGTGGATGATTTAAAAAAAATTAGGATGATGATGCAGGTAAAGTGAGAACTACGAGAATTTGATTGAAGAAGAAGTATAAAACGATATAAATTAAACAGGACTAAACTGTAGAAAAATTTTTAAATAGTTGAATTATGTGCAAATTTTAATGAAATTTTTAATAAGTTAACATTTAAACATAAAAACTTTTTACTTAATTCGTATCGAGAGAATAGAATTATTATAAAAGAAAATTTTAACTAAACATTTTAAAACGCAAATTTAGGCAATAAAAATTTAAAATTTTTAAAATACTTTGCTGTTATTTTACAGATTTATTGCTAAATTTATTATTTAATTTTTCCAGATAAGCGATGGTTCTCATCCGAAGATGCGTAGCATCAGTCATCAGCATCCATCCAGAGAAGGAATTTATAAAAGAAAAATAATATCGGGACGTAAAAAGGAAGGAGACGAATCGACAAATAACAAGAAAAACCTATGTTTTTATCCTTAATAAAGAGGAAAGGAGGAAGAAAAGTTAGATTCTAGAAGTTAGTCACGTGGAAGGAAGCTGCAATCAAGCACCATCCAGAAGAAAAAAAAGATCATCTGTAGACAAGCAAGATAGTGGAAGAATCAAACTTTTATTATTTTGGGCTAGAAAACAAACTAAGAAACATTACAGATGCCAAATCATATACGTTTCTACAGTATAAAGGGGGATAGAGTATCGATAGATAAACCCTCCCTCACTCAGTCTGGAAATCAGTTCTTTGTTAAACATGGCTGTACGTTAACGAACAATTAGTTACTATAGAAGTAAATCTGGCAAAGAGTCGGGTCCATCTCGTTCGCAGGACGAGCAACCAGCCATGAAACGAGTAACTGGGTAGGGAACAATCTGTTCCCCTTCAACCAATTGTCATTTGATGTATGACACTCTTCCCTTCGTTAGGAATTTTCTTCTATGTTGTTACGTTAACAAAACGTGGGAAAGAAGCCACGTTTAAATATTATCTACCCACTTCTATACATTAAATTCGTGGGGTTTCTCTCTCTTTTTAGTCAGATTTTGTGTTACCAAGTTGTAATTTCGATCAGTAACGTTACGCCAGATGAAGTCGGTTAAGCATCATTAACATTAAATCCTGATTTTATCGGCTTATATAGTTTAATACGTCGAATTACATTTTTATTATTTATTTTATTAATATTTTGGCTAGTTTTAGCTAGAAACCTTAAGTTCTATATTCGGTTTTCATTATTCTGTAATTTTCTATTATTTTTCCATATCCCTTTTCCATATTTCTCTCATTTTTCAGCTTAATTTTCTAGAAATTTGCCTTTAAATTAGTTATTTATTGCTATAAAAAGTCTTTAATATCTCATTCTAATAGACAAATCTCTAGAAATTCGCTTCTCTAAGCGCTCTAGCTTGATTAACAATCCTTTTTAATGGGAATAAACTATTTTAAAATTCGCTTCTGTATATTTATAATTCATTTCTTACTTCAACAAATCTCACTTATTTGCACTTTACATCTTAATTTACTCGTATAAACCAACAGACTCGTCTCCATCTTCTCCAGCTCTTCTGTAAACACACATCTTCACATCATACTTCATTAGTTATCACTTTCCTTCCAAGTTTTATCATTCTAAGCTTCTTTCGCTCTTAAATTAAGGTATATAATACATTAAAATTAATCTCTCTTTTTTATTATATATTTTAGTGAATTAAAGGCGTATAATTTCTCTGGATCGTGTTTAAAATCTACGTCTATCTAAAAATCATCTTCNTCTCTTGTTCTCGAGCATCTTTTATTTATTTTTAAAATTAATAAGTTTAAATTTTTTGAAATTTTAATTTCTTATTACTTGAATTTACGTATTTAATTAACTTTTTAAAATTTTCATTCTAATTTTTTAAATTAATGCAACAACAATTCTCACTTCTCCAGCTCCATCTTCATTGACTTGCTCATTCTTCAACCTTATTAAACATAATATAACTCCTTAAAAATTTATTTATTTATTTTTAATCTTTTGAAAGGTTTTCTTTAAGAATTGATCGAAAATTAAGCAATATTTTACATTGAATAATAATTAAAATTCCTATTCTGTGTGCTCACCGGATGCTGCGTGTCACATATAAAGTTATGGATAAAATTGTCATTATTTGAGAATTATAACAAAAAACTTATATAATTTTATAAAAAAGTATAATTAGATATAAGATTTAGATGATAATAAACTAAATTTACGCTAAAAATAAGCGTAAAAGTTTAAATTTTAGAAGAAATCTATTGTATGTATACGTATATATGATACAAGTTTAAGTGAGAATTAATGGAATCGTCTAAGAAATTTGTAAAAAAATATGAAATAAATTCATTAAATTTTGTTATAGATTAGAAAATTAAATGATATATAAAAATTATGAATCATATTTATCCATTAAAAATGTCAAAAATAATATGAGATGATGATAAATTGTAAAGATAATCGAGAGATGCAGTGAAGTTTGAATAAGATTTTCTTCATTTTATATATAAAAGACTTAACTATATTTTTTATAAATAAAGTTTAAAAAACAAATAATTAAAATTTCTTGCCGTTAAACAGGTCAATTAATGCATAAAATTAGTTTAAACATAATTAAATTTAATCTCAATTGCTAAATCGCGTTTAATTAGAGAATGTTGAATGAATTTTTAATTAAAAGTACTACAAGTTTGTTTACTTTTAAGGTAAAACAAAGATGTTTAACAACCAAAAAAATATTCCGATATTAATGTAAAAGGAATATAATGAAATTAATAAAGATTCTGGCACTTAAAGTTACAGAAAAAATGATAAAGTGATGAGAGTAATGGAGAAGAGAAAGAGCATGAAGACGATGGATATGGATAATGAAGAGGGGTAAGAGGTTGTAAAGAAAGGATGCAGATGATGAAGAAGAATAAGAGGATTTAAACAAAAGATGTGGATGATGGACAAGAATAAGAGGACAAGAATAAAGGAAGGATGGAGATGATGGAGAATAATAAGAGAATACAAAGAAAGAATGTTTGAGTGAGTTTAGAAATGCAAACTAAACAATAGAATTAGGAAGATGAAGATTACGTTAAAGAGTAACACACGGATGAAGATGATAAAAATTAAGAGTATTTGGACGATATTGAGAACGAATGAAAGAATGAAGTTACCAAGTTAAAACGTAGATCATTCGAGAAAATTTGAGATCAAAATTAAATAAAATAAATAATTTTTGGCCTTCAAAAAAGTCAAAAAAAAAAAAAAAATTTTTAAAGAGCACGATTGAATTATTTCCGACTTTCGGAACGACAAAAACAACGGAATTTTATCATAATTAAAGTCGGAGGAGGTTAAACAGTCGAAAATTAGGTGAATTGGTGTTCTTTGTCAGCCAAATTTTGCCACGATTTGAGATAAGCAAGAGCACAAAGGCACAGTCCGGGATGAGGATAGAAAGGTGGAAGAGTGTTTTCCACCTTTCACTGTTGCATCCTTGATTAAAAAGCGAACAAAATAACAAGAGAATGGAGTGTAACAAAAGGGGACGCATGCGCTCAGACGTTAACATTTCATTCACAAAGTTTATTAATCGGACACGCTCGGCGACAACCATTATTAGGATTCGGTCGGTTAGTAAACACGGCGGGTATCCTTCGCCCCCTGGTGGGTCGTCCCTGTACTACAGCACGTGCCGACACGCGACCCCGAGAGTTCGGCAACGGTGACGTAGTAGAACGACGTGCTTCACGATCTACATGCAAATTTATGGCGACCACCGGGACATTTTCCCATCGAATGGCCTTTTTGTTATTGAAATGAATCCCTTGACCCCGTTCGTGGCTCCACCACTTGACTGTCGACCGGACGATGAATAAAGAACATGCGCAATACACGGCGTGACGAGTGGAAAGCGGAAGAAGATTGGGATGTTGGCCGGATGATGAATAAAGATCTGTTTCGATCTCTGTTAACACGTAAGAGCATCCAGGATGATGATCGATGCTCTCGAATCTACAACAGAACTTGGATTTTCTACAGGGATTTTTACCTAATTTACGTTCTAGGGGAAGTAAATTATGTTTGAGAAGTGCAAACGCTTGCATATTAATTAATTATACGTATTCTTAATAAGCAACCCCTAAATATCTACACTGAACATACTTATTCGAGACCAAATTTAGACATGTGGCCCTATGGGAAGAGCATAAAATAGGCCATCCACTAAATATTAGTGGATAATAAGGCATACATATTAATTTTTATGCTCCTTGCAGCGTGAGGACCTTATTTGCAGCTTGTTTCGTTAATATATAAATTCAACCCCGCTTACAGTAGTAAAAATTAAGAATTTTGTGTAAAAATAACGTCCGAGAGGGAGTAAGTACGTATGTCTTAATGTAAATCTCATAAAAATACCAATTTTAATAAATTTTTCAATTTTTTGAACCTCCATTTTGAATAATGTCCACTATTGTATATGAATTCTATAAGTACTTTTACTTGCATTCATTAAAAATCTATAAATAAATTTGTTAGGGGGCTACAACAATCAATTTCTGCATTATTTTAAGCTTTACAAGATGATGAAAACGTCCTAAATTTAATGTATTTCATTTCATTTGAGTTCTTGACACAATTGGATCTTCTGAATGTCAACCTTGTTGCATTCTAAGAATACAAACAAAATTAAACATCCAGAACGATTTTAATAATAAAACTCAATAAATAGGGTAATTCCTCCTGAAAATCTATAAATTTTTATAAGTCTTAACCCTTTTAAATTACCCCAAGAGCACTTGAAGCATATTTAATGAGCAATTTTCATTTTTGAAACCTGGCTTACAATGTGAGTTTTTTGGATAACGGTTCAACTATGACGAGATGTTAAATACGAAAGTTTAACATTTTTAAGATTTATTATCCAAATTTATGTAAAATTGATATTTTGGGGTTCCATTCCTCCAACTGTAACCATTGAAGATTTATGCAACCTATTGAATCTCCATTTAAAAAGCTGAAAAATATTAAAGATCTTGAACTTTGAACACTGTAATTAACTAAACACGTTATTTGAGACTTTACGCACGTTTTAAATGCAAAAATTCCTTATTTTAACGTCTAGAATGTTCAAAGATCACTTGAAAATTGCATGTTTCAATGCTTTAAATTTATAAAAACACTTATAAAGTTAATTTTTATCGTGTTTTAACACGAAAAATCATCTTTTATAATATTTACATATNATATTTTTTATAAATAAAGTTTAAAAAACAAATAATTAAAATTTCTTGCCGTTAAACAGGTCAATTAATGCATAAAATTAGTTTAAACATAATTAAATTTAATCTCAATTGCTAAATCGCGTTTAATTAGAGAATGTTGAATGAATTTTTAATTAAAATTACTACAAGTTTGTTTACTTTTAAGGTAAAACAAAGATGTTTAACAACCAAAAAAATATTCCGATATTAATGTAAAAGGAATATAATGAAATTAATAAAGATTCTGGCACTTAAAGTTACAGAAAAAATGATAAAGTGATGAGAGTAATGGAGAAGAGAAAGAGCATGAAGACGATGGATATGGATAATGAAGAGGGGTAAGAGGTTGTAAAGAAAGGATGCAGATGATGAAGAAGAATAAGAGGATTTAAACAAAAGATGTGGATGATGGACAAGAATAAGAGGACAAGAATAAAGGAAGGATGGAGATGATGGAGAATAATAAGAGAATACAAAGAAAGAATGTTTGAGTGAGTTTAGAAATGCAAACTAAACAATAGAATTAGGAAGATGAAGATTACGTTAAAGAGTAACACACGGATGAAGATGATAAAAATTAAGAGTATTTGGACGATATTGAGAACGAATGAAAGAATGAAGTTACCAAGTTAAAACGTAGATCATTCGAGAAAATTTGAGATCAAAATTAAATAAAATAAATAATTTAAGTAAAATAAAGAGATTTTACTACATATTAATCAGTTTGAGATCACCTATACACTGATAACATTAAATGGGGTAAATAAATAAGGAAATAGTGAAAGTTTGTGATCTTATTGACTCTTCAGCTGGATACCCACGTGAATAATTTCATTTCACTAAACCAAGAATCACATGACATGCACAGATTGTACTACTGATATTCACTACTACATTTGCATGCTATTTGGTGGAAGATGGTTGATGATACTGCACTCAGCCACAATTTTTTCTCACAATCAACATACCTGTTGTTTGTGCAAAAAAATAAAAACAAAAATTGATTTATAATTATTTTTGTTTTTATTTTTGTTCTATTCTTTTACTCAAAAATTTCAAGAAAATTATAAATTACTACTATTAATTTCTCAGTTACTATGTTTATCCAATGAGCCATTTTGTAGAAAATGATAACAAACCATCTTATGAAGATTATTCATTGCTGATTAGCAGTATCTGATTTCCATAATTAAAAATACATCCAGCTGAAGTGTTTACGTCATGCATAACTGTGTGATTTAGATGCTAGTTTATTTAGGCTGCATATGCACAGTGCTGAAAGCATTTAAATAGAGTGGTGAAATCACTTATTTGTATTGATATATACAGCTTAACAATAAAAACACACATTAATAAATTTTCAAAGTTAACAATGTTTAATTGTTTTAATAATTATTATTATTATTATTATTATATTTTTTAATTATATTTTCCCTACTCCTTCGTGATAAAGGGGAGGAACGTGAAGGTCATTCATTTACCTTTCTTTCCGCGAAAATTCTCGTTTATCGAACATTTTTCAATTGAATTTATCACGTGTTTTCTCCCCTCCCTCGCAACGTTTTCTAGCTTAGAAGAGACGGAAATCTCCAAAAAATAATTTATGTCTCGTTCGATGAAAATTGTTTCTTCCTCTTTAACTGATTTAATACTTTCGATCGGGTTGGATAACGATCGCGTGATTGTTGCCGCCGTTTCTCCCCCCTGCTTCGACTTATATATTCGTTCTTTTAATGATTTTTTGGAAGGTAACAATGGCCGATATTTGCTGTATTATAAAATAATACAATCTTGTGGTTAAAATGTATGAAGTATTTATGTAACGTGATTGATTAATTCGTTTGCTGGCGTTACTAGAGTAATTCGGTAGTTAAAAATGGGTTGAAAAATATAATAAATGGGTTCTTATCTTTCTAGAATAGGAAAAAAATTGTCTGGAATGTGCATAAATGTATTTAGAAATTAAAAATTTGAGTAAAAATATCATCATTATGCTAGTAAATTGGTTACAATAAGATTCTTTGGATATTTTTCACATATTTTTCTTATAATATGGAGTTCACATCGTACTGGTTTAATGGTAAATAGCATACAAGTTCTGTGGATCCAAATATTAACAGATTCTACAGCAACACATTAACTGGCTCTATGGCTCCATACATAAACACGAGTTTGATGGAATCACACATCATTCAGATTCTATGAAAATACGCATTTCGCTGTTTTATGGTGCCATATATCATACAGGTTTAATGAAACTTCCATACACAGGTTATACCGAACTACAGCATCACACAGGTTCTCATAGTATGGAGCTAATTTCAAAATTCTCTTCGTGTTATGAGAACCTGTGTGATATTTTCTCATAGTTTTGTCATTATCTCTCTAAAAATTAGTATCAAATTCTAATTTTGTTAAATTAAAAGATAAAGCAATAAAATATTTTTTTTTATTTATTCTACAAAATAAATTCGAAGGAATAAATATAAGAATTTTAAATAAATGATAAAGAAGATTATGTGATGAGGATGCTGTATGATGATAAACTTAGATATAAATGTTTCAATTTGGCTAAACTTTTGGAAAAATTTGATAAGAAAATCCAAAATATTTTAAAATATATAATTTAAAGTATAATATATAAAATTTAATTAAATATTTTAATAAAAAAAATTAAAGCATAAAGGAAATTACATAGAATCAATCCGAATCCTTTTATCAAAGAAGAAAAATCTTGATGGAAAGTATCCAAATTTTGCTAAAATCGAAGAAAAAAAACATGAATAATTCGAGTTCAAATTATATTTTGCAAGTTTTAGTAATATTTGATAATTAAAATTCTATTTTTCTATGAAATTTTTTTAATTATAAGAGCGTGACTACATAGAATAATCGATTGATGAATTAGAAAATGGTTTGGAAAATAGTAAAAGTATTTAAAATTTTATCGAAGAAAACTCGAAATTTAATGAAATTGTGCTAAATGAATATTTTGTGATGCTTAGGATGAGGATTTTGGATGCTCAAAAAATAATGTTATAGAATGGATGGAGGAGTAGAGTGAATAAGAAGAGGAAAGATGAGTCAAGATGCAAGAAGACGACAATGAAAAGAGGTAAAAGAGGATTTTCGGTCAGATATCTGTCAACCTCATTAATATCTGTCAAGGCTAAAACACGATTATCAGCAGGATGAGAAAAAAGAGAAAGCTGGGCAGGTAGAAGGAACAAAACGGGTTTCCGTACAAAAATTCCAGTTTATCGACAGCCGAGTTGTCAATGAAGGTGTATTACATCAGAACATAAATGGATCTGGTTCACACCAACCCCGCGGCTGATAGGAGGCACATTGTCAACCCGACGTATCAATAACCGTATTCGCTACAGCTTATCTCTCTCGGTTGGTGGGGAGCCTGCGAGATGGCGCTCCGCAGATGATTTACACCTCGACACGTTTATCATTTGTTGTGCCATTCATTGTCCTTCACGCTCTTTTTGTCCTCATTTTTCTCCCTTCCATTAATAATTGTTATTAGTCTAATAGCTTACCTGTTTTGGTCAGGCGCAGAGGATGCGTGTCCGCCGTCGCTAGCGGGTATGGTTTCCCAGCTACTCCTAAAAAAAAAGGAAAAAAATGCAAAATTTTAACATTTCTACGCATCAATTACTCCCGAAACGACGCCATTTTTGAGAAATTTAATTTGGGAGTTGTGACGACATTTAGGTGCTAATCAAATCCATTTTTAATTTCTAGTGAGGTGTTTCGAGATTTAGGTGCCAGTTATGGCAATTTTAAATTTTACCGCCTAAAAACGGTGTTGTAAACTTTAAGCCCAGTTTAAGCTTAGATTTGCGAAAGAAATAAATCTGTAGGGTTATTATCGTGGATGAATCACTGTATGCAACTAATATTTTAACATTTTTCATTAACTAAAGCACAAAGGATCACTTATCCGCCTATTGTATACGCTTAATTCTCTTTCTTGTGACTAGCCAGTCATCGGCCTTCTTCCTCTTCATTGGTTGCTAGTAAAAAGCGGAGGATTCATGGCTAGTTGGTTCTTACCCGTCTCTCGCCCTCATAATGGATCTGTCTAATTGGCAAACGGAGCAGTTAATGAATGGGCTGCCTCCATTTTGCCATCTCTGGATCCAGGTGATTAGCTCCCTCCATTTTCAGGGGTTTTGCTGATGATTGGAAAATCATACGCACAAAAAAATACGGAAGAATTATTCTAGACAGTGAGAATTGCCACGCGTGAATAGAACATAGGAGGCCGTTTACACTTAAGTTAAACAAATTACGGCTCGAGGCCTCCTATGAAAAGGCCTCATGCTTTTAACTTTATTAATTAATATTTGGTCGGGAAAGGCCTCATATATTTTATGGTTCAGAACCACACACCCGAAAAACCTAAATAAGGTCTTAGTTTTTGCGTTTTAACAAACAAATGTGACCCAAAATGGCGGATTTAATTATAGATGGGTTGTAACATATGAAAATATCATTAAATTTAAAGATTAAAATAATTTTTTATTGATATATTTAAGTTTATACAAGGCTTTAGTGTATATTTAAGAGATCGCAACGTGTTTTTGTAGATTCTCATCAATTTTTCATATAGATAATCTCTCGTACGAGTGATTTTATGTGGGAAACTGAGGGCAATATAAAGTAAATTGCAATCATTTTTTGCCTAATTAAATTAAATTTTTAAAAATAGAACAGAGATATTTTCTACAATGATGTGTATATTTAGCGCTTAAAATGGGACATACATTCTAGGAAATTAGCAGAAAAATCCTACTTACCAGACGAAGGAGAAGGGGATGAAGTTTGAGCAGACGGCAATGGTTTGTCTCTAGATGGAGGCAAAGTCGTTTCCGAAGCTGTAAACATAAGAACTTAAGCTATATAAGGACATTAATTGCATATATAAGGGCGTTAAAGGAATATATAAAGACATTAAGCTAGTAAAATTAGTATGAAGAGCACTTACACTGTCTAAGAAAGTTGAGATGAGCGAAGAGCACTTCACCGTTGTAAGGATTAGTCAATCGACTGAAATCTTCCCTATTGAGCTGGCACAACTCTCGACCCACAAAATTAAACCGATTGATGTCCACATCGTGAAGACTATATTCCTTAACTGCCCATTCTAACCATTGTTTGACATGATCCGGATTCCATAGCAATGGATCTGAAACCCATAATCACACTATAAGAATGGCCAAATTGAAGTGATAATTAAGCAAATTTCTTTGATTAAACATCGAAAATTTTAAAGTTAAACCTTCGTGACACTTGTTACGATAGTGAATTTGGTAATTTTTAAAGAAAATTTTAATTAAATATAGAAAAAAGCGAGAAAATTTGGTTGCTTGGTGGCTTCTGGTACAAGGTTCTATAGCTAATTAGATAATTATACGTTTAACAAGTTTAATAATGTTTAAAATATTAATAAAAATGGTAGCAAAACTGAAAAAAACATTAAAAAGTTTATTTAAAAAGGTCATTTTTCTCTTTATCATAAACAAAGTTTAAGGATAAAATAATTATAATCGAGTTAAACTTATTAAATTTTTTATATATTACAGAGAATTTTTAATTTTTATGAATGCTGTTATCTTAATTTTCATTATAAATCGAAAATATAAGACAAATTCGAAGCATTTTACACAAAAATCTGAAATTTCTCTAAATTATCTTTGCTGCATCCATCCTCAAAGATCATCCAAACTTGAAGCGCAATTGCTTGTAATTATGGAGAACAATTTCGATAATTACAGATAGAAGAAGATAATTAAAGCATAAAAATTATGTTTATTTAATTAGTTTTATTATTTTCGAATAAAAAATGCATAAATATTAAGAAATTTAGCATAAAATCGGTCTCTAATTGCGGATGATTTTCATTCTCTAAGTGATGCGGAGATGCGGATTTAAACGAATCTTTGCATCAGGAGAATAAAAATCATATTATTTTTAATTAATATTTTTAAAATGTTAATTTAATGTAAATAAATCGTAATGAATAAATTATGCTAAATTTTACTTTATTTTTTAAATAAATCAACATTTATTCTCATCTTATATTTGCTTTAATTTTAATTAAAATTAAAACTTTAAAATGAGTATTATCGTGTAAAGATGATCTAAGGAGTAGGAAAATTTAGGTTTGTGGGGTGGCTCAAAAGTCAGTTAACCATTATAAAGCTAAATTGTCTTATTTGGTAACCAATTAGTACAATTCTGCTGCAATTTTGAAAGGAAAAGACAAATTGATTTAAACTCAGTGTACTTGCAACCCATTTAACAAGATAAACTGACTTTTGGGCCACCCTGTATAAAGATTAAACTAATATATAGTATCAGAATATAAATTTGATGTATAAAAATATAGAATAAAGATCGATTTGGAGAGGAAAAAATAGATTTAAAAATATACTGTACGCATGTGTAATAATTAAAGATTTTAGGATTTTGTAGCATGACGACTGCGCTTCTCACGACTTTCCATGTAAAAGTATCGAATAACCTCCATTGTAAGTATCCTCACAGTCATATTTTCCCCGATTTTTCCCTACAAAAAAATGGTGTGAATTTTCTATCTTTCTCTAATTAATCCCCGTCAAAAGTTGACAGAATAAACTGTGTGTAGGAGAGAAACAAAAGGCAGACTCTACAAGATACAGAAGGCGAAGAAGAAAGGGGGAGAAAGGCTTTTTTCCCACGGACGTACTGGTTCTGGACGAGCGACTCCAACTTGTGCCAGTATTGTTGGCCAGAGAGTGGCCCCGCAGTCGACTAGACGTAGACATACGGTCAGTGAAGGTTGATGACTTTCTAATACAACAAGCCACCCTCTGCAGGGGACCCAACGTCGCGTTACGCTAGATTGAATGAAGTTGTTATAGACGTCGCCGTCGTGTGCTTGCCTATTGAACAGCATCGGTTACATCCCTGGTAGTTACAGGTCGTGACGCTCGAATGAATCGAGAGGGAGAACCAACTTGCGCAGATACAGCCATTCAATTGGATATCAATACTGCAATATGTACTCCCGCCATATTAGTTTTGATAAAGGTTCGCCCTTGCCATCTAATTGGGCCTCTTTGGCGGATGCCAACGCTAATTCTTCACTTATGCCAGCACAAAATGATCAAAAAGGACTTTATTCTTAACCAGAATTATTAATATTGTCAATAATTTGCGCTATTTTAGTAATAAATTAATTAATTTTAATGTGGCTTTGTTGTAAATTGAAGGCTTACTCGTGAAGGGTACGTGTTGAAGTGCGTGTTTATAATGCTAATTTTTCACTTATGAGAGCATAAATAATAGAAATAAAAATTTATTAAGACCAGAATTATTAATGTTGTTAACAATTTGTGCTACTTTAGCAATAAATTAATTAATTTTAAGTTGGCTTTATTGTAAGTAGTAGGCTTGCTCGTGAGGGGTTACGTGTTAAAGTGAGTATTTTTAACGATAATTTGATTCAAAGAGAAAATATATTGTTGCTGTTGTAGAATTTCAAGATTTTCAAACGTAAAAATCAGAATTTTGCCATAATTTGACGTTATAATAATTATAAAATTCGGGTTTTGTTAAACAATATTAAAATTTTAATCGGATAAAAAGTACAATGAGTTACATTTCCACAGAGTGGCATTTAATCATAATTATGAGGTATAGAAATTAATTACGTTCCTAACAACAAGAAAATTAGAAAAATAAATAGAATTTAAGCCTTAAAATAGATAGAAAGTGAATAATATGACCAAAAAATAAAAGAAAAAATTACCATTTTTTTTTAATGCAGGAACAACNATCATTCGATATCATTTTCCAATTACCCACCTGCAAAACCTGAAATTTTATAAGAGTCTCGGTTACCACTTTCGTCATCGTCCTCCGCATCACTCAATCCAAAAATTCCAGAGTTTATCTTAATTTCTTTGAATAAGTTAAGAGTGAGATGGATACGAGTTGTCGAAATCTCTCCTTCTGCTAATTTAATCTCAATTTGAGTCCCGAATTAATAAATTTTTGGGTGGAATTATTTGGAAAATGCACCCAAAGGTCGAGAGAACGAACTGGAAGCGACTTTCTACAGAAGATAATTAATTCAAGTCGCTTTAATAATTAAAAATTCCAAATTTTATAGCTGTACTTTTGTTTAATTAAGTTTATATTATTTTAACTTTATTACATGGAAGAAAATCTTAACAATCCCTGCTCTTAGGTAGAGCAGTGTGAAGTTTTAATCTGAATTTCACACGGCTTTACTATAGAGCAAGAGTAGAGATGCTTACTAAAGATAAGATAACTTCATCCCTGCTACATGATAGAAGAAGATACAGTTCTGTTCCATCTTTTATATCTTTATTATAGAAGTTGGAACAGAACTCTCCCCTCTCTCTCATAAGAGAAAGCAACATCCTTCTCCTCCTCATCTTCTTCCAAGAATTAAGTTAGAACAGGTTCCAGCTGTATAATATATATAAATATATATAAAAGCGGTCAAATTTCCTTTAAAAACTTCACTCTCGAACAGAAAAAAACCAAGAAAGTTAATTTAAATCCATTTTACTTACGAATAAAAACGTAGAAAAATTAATTTAACGATACAAACACGAATGATTTCAGGAAGGATCATGGATACGGAGGAGGAAAAATTGGAAAATTAATAACTTCCCCTAAAAAAGGGGGAGGGAGAAAACAAAATTGATGAAAGAATAAAGTAGCAAACGGCATTGGCAACAGGACAAGAAGAAGAAGAAAAAAAAAAGAAAAAAAAAAAGATGAAGTGGAAGTATTGGCGTCTAGCAGAAGAGGGGAGGAGGTAAAGCATAGGAGTGGCTAATGATAACAAGAGTGGCGCTATTGGTGGATTGGCGGATCGAAAGCCGGGTCAAAGAGGAAGTAACAGAAACTATGTGTTGGGGCGGGCAAAATTGATTATAGCGCCGACGTCCAAAACTTGTGTGTAAGTTTGTATGGCGTCGAGATACGGCTATCCAGCAGGGCATGGCCTACTGTATAATGGGTCTGAGTGCCGCTCTGCAAATTGCGGAAGTCGCCTGCAGGAAGCGGCGCTATGACCAGATCCCGTGCTTCTGGATTTACAGCGTAGTTGCATTATAAACAGGGCTGGTCCGTAACGGAGCGTGACGCCTCGTGCGTGATTAATATAAGCCGTCACGGTCTTTCACGTGTCGAAATTTTCGTCTCTCTCTCTCTCTCTCTTCCCCCCTTCTACGTTTCGTTTAAGCTGGAGAGAAGCGAAAACCTCAACAGATCTTTAAAAATGGTTTATTCAATTCATTTTTTTAAATGTTGTTTAGGTGATTTAATTGCGTTAGGCACTCCTTTGTTCTATGTGGACAAGGAGTGATTTATAGAGGTGCAAACTGATTAAAAATAGGCTTTAGGAAAGCCAATTCTTATTTTAATTTCAGAAATTTCAACTTATATAGAGAAGTGGCTTACAGAGATGTAGACTGAACAGTATGCTGTAGGTGTGCGAATTTAAGTGGAAATTGTAGACTTTTTCTTATTATTTCGGCTTTATTTAGAGGAGAAAGTGTTCCAACCGCTGTAGTTTAATGTAGGAAGGACGTCGCGAGTGTTTCACCACTTACGGCTTTGTTACGGGTGGAAAAGTATTGATTGTTCTAATTATTTTATCATATTTTATATGGAACGATTTAGAATTTTCGCAGAACTTGTTTATGATGGGGTTGTTGTAGATAATACCTGTATATTTAGGTTTCTTCTCCAGAAGGTCAGTAAAATGTAGTGGAAAGTGATGCTGATCAGTAACCAGCATCTTCCTCTTTTCTTATAGTGAAGATGAAGATAAGTGGCTTCTACTCAATAATATACTCTTATCTTAGTAATTTGGATAAATAATGCAAAAAAGGCCAATATGCACGAAAAACTAACGAAATGCATATTAAAACGAACTTACATCGGTTAATTTAGTTTGAATTTTGTGATATTCCGCAAATCGATGCTTAGGATTTTTCACAAATTCTCGATCAAGTTTAAGCTTAAATTCTAATTAAACAAAGAAAATTTCCCGCATTAACCGCATAAAAATTTACTAATTTTAATCAAACTGACAATTAATATTATTTATTTATTTATTTTAAGATGAATCTTGTAATATGATGCAGCCGAATCGGAACGAATCGTGGATCAAAACATACGATTTTTACAGTTTTAATTCTATTAGATTAGAATAATAACGCTGAAGATTGATCGATTTTCATGTATTTTTTCATTTATTCACCATTCATTTGACTAGAAACTCTTAGAACTTTCATAAATTGACTCATCTTCAGCCAATCCCACGTTTCCACCATAGAAAACCACAGAGGAAAGTTAACTAAAATATGATATTAATCAACCTACATCCCATAGTAACTGTTTGGAGATAGTCTTTCTGGTGTCACGTTACTCCATCACTGCAACTGGATAAGTTATCAAGATGTGTCACGCATGCTATAATACAATATATCAGAATGGCCCTCCCTCTTTACGACACGCTACTGGATCTATACGAGTCACCATCATGGCCAAAACAGCAGTTTATCCCCAATAATAAATCCAGGAAGGGTCTAAGAGGAGGGGGAGGGTCTGGTGTTAATGAAGAAAGTAGAGAGAATCAACTGTTTAAAACTATTAATTACACGTGCCTTAATTACTAGAGGCACACGATAAGGGAGTTTCACGACCGGAATGGCGCATTGTTCTAGAAGAAGATGCCAGGAAGTAAGAAACAAGACGTGGTAAATAAGTTAACGCTTCCTCTTTTAACATACTTTGACACAGACTTTTGTTATCTCCTGGGCGTTGCTGCACACCTTTTCTGTTTGAAGTGCTATCTTCGAGTGCCATCAGACCATGCTGCTAAGTTATTAAAAGGTTGATTTACTGTTTACTTCTTGTCTTATCCCCCTTTGTTTTAGTGTATGGCTTGGGTTTATGCGATGGACATCGCTGTTTTGATTTCTTTTTATTTTTCTTTTTCGAGAGTTTATAACTGCAAAATCTTCCACCTTTATTGCGTGAAAGTCAAACTTTCTTTAAGATTTCGCCAGTAAATTCCGTATTGTAGTGTGTGTGAAGATGTAAGATTTTTCGTCATTTCGCCAATAAATACAATAAAATATTGTAATTTATGGTATAAAGTGGTTTATATTGTGATTTTTTCAATAAAAAAATCACACGATCTTGCATTTTATGGCGTAAAAGTGAAAATGTTTTGAAGATTTCGCCAGTAAATTCCACAAAATATTGCATTTTATTATGTAAAGATGCAAGATTTATTGCTATTTATCAAATAAAAACCAGAAAATCCTGCATTTTTATTATATAAAAGTGAAAGATTTTTAGCAATTTGACCAGCAAAATACAAGAAAATCTTGCACTTTACTGTGTAAAGATGAAAGATTTTTGCATTGCATTTTGCAAACAGTAAAATGCAAGATTTTTTTAAAACGATTTTTACTGATTAATTCGCTTTTATACAATAAAGTGCAAGATTTGTTTGCAATTTGACTAATAAAATCTTCAAAAATCACATTTTACTGTATAAAGATGCGATTTTCATGAATTTATCATTGAAAGTTGTTAAAGTTCCTCATAAAAATCAGGTTTTTGCACTGTTTAGCATGTAGAATATTCTAAAAAACAGCAAATAAGTCTTTATTTTAAGTTTTTTGGGCTTTTAAATAACATTTTAAACATGAATTTAACATATTTTCAAGCTTATTTAAACGATTTTCTTTAAAATTCGCATTACGAAAGTTTCATATTGACACATTTTATAAAGATGGGCCCTAAGCTACAGTTTAGGGCCAATCTTTTTGGATTTATTATTCGATGGAGAGGAAAAGGCCTCTTATATGTTATAGCTTAAAGCTACGACATTTCTAAATTGAGCTCCGTAAGGCTTATGTATATAATTATTATGTAGATCCAAATAGAGACGCCAATAGGGCCATATACTCGGGCCCCAGACGTAGCAAGCCCTAAATTTAATAATTTACATAAAAAACTCGATACTAAAGCGACGTAAATTAAAGTTTTTATCGATAAAGTAATGAAAAAAATGTATTTTATTTTGTTAATTTACAACATTATTAAGGTTTCTAGAGAAGTATAAGGCCCTTTCTCGGGTCTTACACATATTATAGAGTTCGAGAAAACATTAAAAAGTATATTTTTTAACGCCTAAAACGTTAAAATTGAATTAATTAATATAATAGAAAATATTAAACGTTTTTCGGCATTAAATGACAAGAAAAATTGCTTAAATATTCTCTCAATTTTCTCATATTTAACAGTTTAAACGTTAAAAATATGTTTAGCGATGCTTCAATACTCAATATTTTTTTAAGTCGAGTAAAATTTTGAATTTTATGAAATTTCTCAACGTTTGTAGACATTTTTCCAACAAGAAAACACGTTTAAAGCGTTTTTTGTAACATTTTTTATTCGGCACTTTTTCCAATAAAAATACTTTAGAAACGTTCTATTGGCATTTTTCAACTCAAAAATACTTTAGAAACTGTTTTTCCAACATTTTTACAGACTTTTCCCAACACAAAGATATGTTTAAAGTATTTTCCCAACGTATTTTCAACAAAAAGACTATTTTTAAAACGTTTCTTAACATTTTCACAGCATTATTTAACACAAAGTATCATTCCAAATAATTTTCTAGCAGTTTTTTCATCATTTATCCAACACGAAAATAACTTTAAATCATTTTTTTCCAACGAAAAACAGCATCTTCTAAACGTTTTTCCAGCATCTCCCACCACCACTCAAGACAAAACAACTTAAATTTATCCTTTCCATCATTTTTTCTAACAAAAAAATAGCATCTTCTAAACGTTTCTCCATCATCCTCCCATCACCTCTCAACACAAAAAACACCATCCAAAAATAAAACAATCCCTCTTCACTTTATCCAACCCGAAAACGTCTCCAGAAACGTTTTTCCAACGTTTTAAAGAAAATTTCAGAAAGAAATTACAAACAAAAATCAAAGTCATTACTCGTTTCTCGCTCTATAAACATCGCTTCCTTTCGGAAAATCTGCAATTTTAATAGGAAAAATCCTCCATTAAGGAGGTATATTTGATATGCAAATTTAATGATTTTAATTATTTGCCAGGACAGAATAAGAGGGTGGAGGAGGAGGAGAAGGGGGGAAGGAAGAAAAGAAGAAGTTTTTCGCTTCTCTACACTTTATCCCTTTACTCAGATTTAATTAAGAATATTCCGATACACTTGCCATCTAATTAAATCGCATTGAACTAAACTTCTAAGTACATTACCACATTCTGCTACACATTAACTGCACATTAAACATCGCAGAAGTGGAAATGGGTTTAGGGTTTTCACTATAATTACTGTAACTGGCAATAGAACGGGGCGATAAAGTTGGAGAGCAGACATAATTGTCATTAAAGCATCGCATCGTTTCTCTTCCTCCTCCTGCTTTTCCTCCTCGGCCTCCTCCTCATCCCATGATCTTTCCACCATCTTTAAATGCTATTTTTTCCATTTTCCATCCACAGATTTATTATCCAAGTATTATTTATTTATAAACTTGGAAGAAAATCAGAAATTTCATTAGTTTTACTTGAATTATTTATTGCGGGATTTGTTATTTATATGTTAATAACCAGTAGAAACAGCTGTTCTTGGAGGCAGGTGCTTGTAAGAGGAGAGTAAATGAGATCTCTATTGCTGGCGGGGGGGCTTTTTCGAAAGGTCAAAGGTCGTTTTACCTCTCTATCTACGTTATAGTTTCGTACAGAGATGATTTACAAACTAGCTTACTGACAGATCTCCTACGGAGTTAATCATTCGGGGGGCCACGTTTTGTCTTAAATTAAGCGTAACTGATTAATTTAACCGAAGAATTGGTAAGCGTCGATGGTAAAATGCAACCTTTAGCATCCACGGAACAATAATTTAGTGTATTATAAGTAATAATTTAGAATATCTTAAGATGTGAAGAATTTCGGATAAAATGTAAGATTTTATAAAATATACGCTATAAATCTTATTAAATTAATAAATATATTAAATTTCGCAACTTGTGTTAATTAAAATATATAAAATTTCATCTATTTTATTAGATTTAGCATAGCTATCGACGTAAACAGAAGCGATTCCCAACTACTCAAACTTACGAATTGTCGTAACGTTGTGAAAAGAGTTCGCGATCTACAGGTTGGGAAATTAAGTGTAATGCAGTTATTTATAACACTGTACTAAATTTTAAAATATAATGATGTGTAAATATATGCTGTTAATAATTTTATAACTGATTATTACTGAAATATTAATTCATAAAATCGCAAATATAAGGTAAAACCTACCTTTAGACATGATAAAACAATGTTTTATAGAATATAATTTGAGTTTCGGAAGATATTTTATAGAGAAAATTATGTAAAAATTGATAAAAATTAATAAAATGTAGTATTTGTTAATTAATTTTAGGTTTTTCGTACATTTTCTTCATATTAACTTGAGATTTAGTATTAGAAAGTGATGCTCAGATGAGTTAGACTGATGAAAAAATTTGACGCTTATTTAATATTTTTTAAGATTTAGTTATATTTAAANTTTTCACTAATTATATCACATAATCGTTAAATATAAGAGAATTATGATAAATTTTTAGTTAATTTAATTACAATTATCAAGAAATAAGCTGCTATTGAATGTAATAAAATGTAGTTTCAGTAAAGAATGGTTTATTGTTAAAGTAGTATAACTTTAGGTTTTATAGGTGATAAAAGCATAATTTTAACCTCAATTTCTAGGATTTTAATGGCTATAAAATAACTTTAAGCATTAAAATATTGATTTTAATAAGAATTTAATCAAAATTATCTGATTTTAATTAGGTTATTGCGTCGATTATACAGGATTAAAGACAGAGTGAATGATAAAAAAATTTTAAATTAGGGCTTGAAGTTCTAATTTAAAAAGTGTCAGGATCCAAAATAATAATTTACCTATGATAATGAGAATTTTATCCAGCCAAACTTGTGAACAACGGCCAATGAGGAAAACAAAAAAATGTCCGCCATTCGAAGGTGGACGTCCTTTATACGCATTTTAAAATAGAAACGTTTTTTATAATGGCCACTGTATAGGGTGGCCGTCTTTGATAAGTGTCCTTTAGTAGAGGTTCGACTTTAAATAAATTAAAGATTTTCAGCTATATCGATTGAAATTCGCTCGTAAAAGTAGGATCATTATGGTGAAATTTCAAAGATAAACAATGGGATTTTAACTATTATGACGTTACAGTTACATCACAGGACTCCGTGTGTAATTTTATAAGAGTTTTATTTACATATTATGTTCAAAATTCCTTACATTACGAGCTTATTTATAACGGTTCTTTCAATTGGCTGCTGGGGTTGAAAGGGCACTCACTCCCTAAGCGAGTAGTCACGGATCTCTTTGGAAAATGGCATTAAAATGATTTATGTTACGTATTAAACGTTCAAAAATGTAGGACAGAATGACGTTTTATGCGTTGTACACCGAATGGTTCCCTTTAAAATGTGTAAATAGTTATAATTTTTTTTTTTGCGTAATCGATATCGATCCAAGGGGCGAGTATGCTGTAACTCGACGATTATATCTCAATTTGTGTCTTAAAAATTGTGAATTTTATGGAAAATTTGAGTAAAAATTTACTGTTCCGAGGGATTTTTAATGAGATTTCCACTTAAGATTATGAATTTAATGATTTTATACAGCGTTATTCGTTGCAAGAGGTGACTAATACATGGTCAAAATCTCAATTTGTACAGTGAAAACTGGATTTTATGGACAAATTACATAAAAATTCGATATTTGAACCAGTTTTTAATGAAATTTTGTCTGGAAAATATAAAATATATACCTTTTATGGCAAAATTTCACATGAAAAGTGAATTTCGTTGATCAAGAATATCAACTTCATAATGTTCAGTACAGTACTGTACATAGAGTATAGTACGTGATTAGTATAAAGTTATAATTATGTATTTACATATTATAGAATAATGTTTAAATTAAAAATTTATTTCTTGTTTCTAATTTTTATAAACTTTTTGATAGAAATTAAGAATTTCCTTAAATTTCGTCTAACAACTTCGATAAAAGTGCTACAAAAATTCGAAAAACCCTGATAAAATCAAGTAAATAGTCGTAAAATCAGAATAAACATTATAAAAATTCAAAACGTCTTCAGAAATTATCAAAAAAATCTTTTAAAAATCTTCAAAAACATATCTCAAAAATTATAAAAATATTCAGAAAATGATAAAAACGGTGGAAAGAACCGAATTCCTTATCATTTTAAATCAAAAATTAGTGAAAATTTGATAAAATTTAAGGAAACTTTTGTTAAAATTTTAATTTTTAATTTGTTTTATTTATAATAATTTAAAAATCATTAAAATTTTCTTATTTAAATTCATAAATTAAGCTATTTTTTTCAAAGATAACGTGGAGAAATAAGGATAAACTCAGGATAAAAAATGTTGCAATGGATGGATTGTTAGAGGATGAACATGATTAGGAACGAAGAAAACTTGTTAACCTTAAAAGAAAGTTACAGGAGATTAACTTATGTGACCCATAAATCCTAAGAGAAGAGAAGGAATATATGTTAATAGGAAGATGAAGGAGAAAGGAATAAGTTAGAGCTGGAAGGGAACGAGGTTGATATAAAATAAATTTTTAATAAATATACCACGTAATTTCTGAAAGTAAATAGTAAAATTTATTTTAATTTTTTAATTTATACGGATTTATCTTAGCAAAAACACTAAATTTAAGAGCTCTTAAGCTTTGGGAGTAGTTGTATAAATATATAAGTAAAAACTCGTTAAACTCTGCAGATGTTTGTATAAATTCGAAGACTCGTAGCACTTTTCATATTAAAGTTTACTATAAAGGAATAATTTACAAAAGTAGCTGCAATTTTTATATTAAATCTATCGTAAAATTCTTATCTATGATAATTTTAAAGAGATTAACATTAAAATTCCAAATTACAATAAGCTAGGACATAAAATAATAGCGAATGACTTGTATGTTACACAAGATAACCTATATTTCTTAATTATAAGCTTAATTAAATATTTTATAGCACCTAAACTTGTATTCTGTAAACCTTTACAATCCAAATTAAAACCATTAATATTATATAATTTCTATTGTATACTTTTAAAATATGAAGAATAGGCTACAGGCTACGAGCTACAAACTATATGGCTACAGGCTACAGTGCATATGTTAAAAGTACAGGCTTACACAGCTATAAACTACATAGCTACTTAGCTACAAACTACAGACTACATGAGCTATGAACTAACATTTTACATATTCTAAATGATAAAAGATATATCTTACATCGTGTAGAATATGTAAAATTTTAACCTATAGCCTACGTAGGTTACTGTATCAAATTCCACTTATATATCGTTACAAATCTTTAGTTTTTATATAGAAATGATTTGATATTTTGTATATTTAATGTATATAAAGTTTTATACGCTTTACATATGCAAAAATTTGACATACTTTAAAGGCAGTTTGACGTTAAAATATATTCTTGTTCATATTTGCTATAATAATTCATAAAAAACTTTAAATTATCGTTGCGTAATATGAAGAATTAGTTCTATATCTGATTTTAATACAAAAATTTGCATATATGAGCGGATATAATCTGAAAATTTGCATTAGAATCGAGTAGGTTGCAGTGTAGAACACGGATTCGTGCTACAGAACCACAAGGAATTTAAGCTATAAATCTACAATCTATACAATAAATCTAGGCTTACTTTAATCTGATAACGTTCCTAAATAAATATATGCAAAAATTATGTTTATTTTGATTTATTTATGCATTACAACACGCAAACTTCTCCAACACGCACAACAACGTTTTAAGGAGCATCACTGTTGATCTTCCTAGTAAAAAAAACTGCATCAACTGTAAAAAACACAGTAAAATACCAATTCTTAAAGGTATTTTGGCATGGCTGGACCTTAAATTTATAGAAGAAAAGTAGTTTTGAAGCTTATTATAATGGAGCAAAAGGCGTGCAGACATCGATAACACACCCCCATACAAAGTGACAATTTTAACTAAAATTTACGCCTCTCACGATCTTTAAAGATTTAAATCTTTAAAAAAGGATTAATTAGAAGAGCCATAAACTAAGCTAAATTATCTGCAAGTAATTATAAAATGTACAAGCGTGCGTTTGTATGTCTGTTCTCGTTTATTGACAAGCCAGGGAGTAGTTTTATCGAAGCGATACGTTGTAACAATCGCTCGTATATTTTGTTGTAGCTACAGTATAGAATCATCGTGGATATTTATGGCGCTGCAACCCATAAAAGGGCCTGGCTGCAGCAATCTCTCTCAGTTATGATTCACGCTTCTTGTCTCATCTCCCTCATTGATCTTGATGAAGCCGTCTCTTATTGGTGCTTCACAGTTGCCTGTCACAGGCGGGGAGGTGTTATGTGCTACAATCACCCTTCCATTGGTAGACTGGTAGGAGTGGCCAAGTTTCCTCTATAGTTATCACACAAAATGGAGTTTTTGGATGCTTGATTGATTATAAAATGAATTAAATTTGTAGTTTAGAGCTTAAAATCTTTTATTTTTTACCAATTATCTTCGAGATACTGCACTGAGAAACCCTCCTCTCGTTAGAGAAGCGTTAGAGAGGGAGGTTTTTATCACTTATCATCACTTAGAAGATGAAAATTGTCCATGGCTCTTGCAGGAATATGGAAAAATTCTGATAGTTATCATCCATCAAGTTCAATTCAGTTCATTCTCCTAACATTTAGATATCGTTTAGTGCAGATGGGCCATTTCCACGTCTCTATAACTGATTCTTTTGCACAAAAGTTTGCTCGTATGCAGAAAAAATCTCTTATTAATTGACTATAAAACTCTGAGATGCTGAAAGTAGAAATCGAAATTCGAAAGTTTGAGCACAAGAACTTATATTTAACACCTTAAAAATGGCATTGAAAGGTTTAAATCATTAAAATTAATTAAGGTAAAATCCCTCTAACATCATCACCATCTGTCTACGCTTTAAATTATAGATGGCGAACAACGATCTTCATCTTCTTAAATACGATTGATAGAGGATGAATTTGAGTTCTGTTTCGGTGTATATGGAGCCAGATTGGTTTTAATTTATAAATTTTAAGCTAAAATGTTAATTAAATAATAATAGATAAAATAAATGATGAAAAATTATCTAATTATTCACTTATACTCGCATGTATTTAATTCTAACTCGTCCATTCATCGCTCTTTATCATCATCATTTTATGTTTTAAAACGTGGAGAGGTAATGATGATGAGCGATCTTCGTCTTCTTAAAACAGGAATGTATTATCGGTTTAATCGTAATTTATTGAAAATATCCTAAATTTTGCTCTCTAAAAAAATGGTTTATATCCTCCATTTTGATGCTGCATCGTGCAATAATTTATAATTATTTTTTAAAATTTCGCAATACTTAACTAAATCTTGTATAGTATAAAATATTTTAAGCTAATTTTTTACACAATTTTTAACTATTATTTTCTCCATTTTCGCTAAGAAACGGTAAATCATCAACGGAAACTTCCATGCAACGTCGTCTAAAAAAAAGAAAACTGGCAAAAATATGCATTTTTGCACAAAAAAAAATTCAAGAATTTTAATGAAAATTATCGACACGTAAGTCTCTAGAATAAGATTGCAAAGTTATTCTTAGATTCATTTGAATGAGCAATTAATCAAGTAGCTTGTTGCCTGGATAGAGTAGCCAATTGCGAGATGGACATCCATCAATCGTCGAGACATTAGAATTGGATATGCAAAGTGAACCCTTTCAATAGAAACCATAAATTTTCATGATGAAGTCGCCTTCTACCGATTAATCTAATGATTTAAATCACGCTCGAAGTAACCCGTTGCTAAGTTATATACAAATTTTCGAGTTACAAATCTATATTTGCATAATCGCGAGTTTACATCTACTCTTGTTTCTCATTAAGAAAAATGTTATTAAATTAAGTTTTAAGAGATACAAAAGCATCAAAATTAAAAAATATATATATTAAAATTATTTATTATTTAAGCTTAATTTTGTATAATTTAATTATTTTTATTAAGCTAAAACGAGGAGATTCTTAAGGCGTTTTTTGTGTCTCTATGGGTAATGTGTCAAAGATTTGTAGAGGAATTACTGGTTAAAGTGCTATTAAATTACATTTTACAAGAGATAAAACTGTAAAAAATTGAAAAATATATTAAAATTATTTATCATTTAAGCTTAATTTTGCATTATTTAATTGTTTTTTTGAGTTAAAACGAGGAGATTCTTAAGGAGTTTTCTGTACTTCTAGCAATAACATATCAACGATTTATGGATAAATTAGAGATTAATAATGTAATTGAGGGTTTAGATACGTAAAATATTATAAAAGTAACGTTATAAGATGATAAAAATCTACGATAATGCGATTGTTTTATAGAATTTAATCGCGTATCCGTCCATATTGCAATATAGATAATCAGTGTTTGTCGTATGACAGCTGATTTACCTGGCATGTCGAAGAATAAATAAGCTTCTACGTTATCATTTAGCAGGACTGCTGACATAAATATTGCAGTCAACCAGACCATTAATCAATTAAAGATAATCGCTGCAGGCCACCGGCTCTTCCGACAAATTGCTTTCTGTCTACCATCCCTCTACAACTGCTTTCCACCTTCGAGTCATACAGTTAGTTCTATGTACTGTATATAAATGGCTTAAAAGTATGATTTTTTCCTATGTTTTGCATAATTTAGGCTATGTTTATGCTAATGTAAGTGCATTACTTCCATCCGGTTTTGCTTGTGAACTGCTCTTCGCAAGCAAAACCTAATGGAAACATTCGCTGTCACCCCTTCCTATGTCTCTACCAAAAAAATAAAGATGAAAACGGTTTGTTTCGCATAAAAATTTTAAAATATGTTACGTTTAAATAAATAAATGTACATATTAATTTATTTTATACTTTAATATATTATTTCCTCTATAGAAAATTAATATATCCACGTTTTGTAAGCGCTCATTTATGCGTTAAAGTATTAAAATTTGTGCTTTGGTTCAATGAAAAATGTTAATTTTTATATTAATTAAATAATTAATTTGCTTAACTAAATTAAATTGAAGTGTCAATTTTATTAAAATTTTAAAAATGATCGTTTTTTTTAATATAAAATTAATTATTTTCAAAATTACTTTTTCAGTTTTTAAAAATTAATTGTGTTTATTTCATTAAATTTAACTGTGTTTATTTCGTAAAAAGTAATTGTGTTCATTTCACATTAAAATAAATTGTTAATTTCATAAAAATTCAATTGTCCTTTTCCAGAAATGAAATTTGTCGATTTCGCGAAAATTAAATTATCAATTTCGTTAAAATGTCAATTGTTTTTTGTTATTTTCACAAAAATTAAAGCGCTAATTCTATTTTTTTAAAAAACGAAATTAAACGTTAATTTTGCAAAAATTAAAGTGTTTCCCCCATAAAAATTCGATCTACCGTTAACTAAGACTTAAATAAAATTAATTAATCTATCTAATAAATAAATCCCGATTAATATTTCATTAAATAAACGAATTTTAAACTATTAAAGTTTAAAAAAAGTACAGTTTATAGGCCTTTCACCGAGATTTTTCGCGAATATTATAAATTAAAAAAAGAAGAAAAGTTTTAGAAGTAAGTAGAGATAAGCGGCTGTAAGTCTGTACAAATCCGGACATCTGAAATCTTTAAAATATATATATATATTTTTTTTTTCTTCTTCTTCTTTCTTTCTTTAAGCTGTGTGAGAGTGGTTATCGGCCTGTCAACTCTCTGTCAAGTGAGAGAAGCTGAATGTCGAAAGTTGGATGCGAGAACGTTGTTCCCTGAGGCTAAACTACTACATCAACTTATTTCTCGGTTGGCACCTTTAATCACGAGTAAACTCGCTTTCTTTCTACACTTCTTCTTATCTCCTATCGTTGTGAAATATGTGTTGTTTGTAGATAAGTGTGCTTCTCTTACATGCGTATATCATGCGGTCTCTACCTAAGGCTATGTTATAGATACGCTTCACACCGAGTTGATCGCAGAAGGGGTTGTTTTATTCTTTAATAACCTGACAGAATCGTAAAATAAGCCTTTATTGTTAACGTTTTGATAGTTTATAATTAAGCGAGATTAAAAAATTGCATAATTTCCTAGCCAAATTGTCGAGCTTTTGTCTTAATCTTCGCCGTCGGGAGTGAAACTGTAGACTGTTTTATGTTCGATAAACGAGTGTAGAAGGTGTAGAATGGTTTATAATTGAATCTAAAGCCTGTAGGCTTAAGTAAAAGTAACATTTAGGAGCGTTTCAAGTGTATAAATTGGAGTTACGCGCGTAACAATCTACGTTTTCTTAAAGTTTCTAGCATCTGATGTAGTAGAGGCGAGCCTATTTTACCACGTTACGCCGAAGTATATAATTAAATAGCCTTTATATAAGTTAATTAGTTAATAATTAATAAAATAAATCCATAAATGAAGTGAATTTCGGGGTCTTAGAAGACAATCGAGGTGCACAGACTGGTAGGCGCCCGGAATGCATTCTTCGGTTCTTGACCGAATCGAAGTAGCCATAAAAACTTCGGACGTTTTAATTTAAAAAGCTGAGTGACCAACGTCCCGAAGTGACTTCCGGTCGAACGTCTTAGCCATTGACTTCCGGCCTTAAAAGTCACCAACTGTACTTTGCGAGGACATAAAACTAAGTCTAGATCTGGCATAGATAACGTCTGCGAGGTAAACAGTTGTTAAATGTAAAGATAAGAATTCTTCTAGTTACTTTTTAACGTTACGGATGTTACGCGTATACAGGAAGTTTACTCGTAACCGGTTTCGATAAAGCCAGGTTTTAGAAGGTATTTAAAACTGTAGGCGGATGTAGTAGCTAGTTACTCACCTGCGGGGACGACGACGCGTTTGTCTGGATGAACTCTGACCTTTTGGGCCACCGACTGGTCTTCAATCTGTCTATTATTGGATGGAGAACGGGTGTCGGAATGTCCACCGAGGTTGGAAACCAGAGAGAGACTGTCCGAAGTCTTTGTAATATCTCCGACGTAAGGCCCCGATATAAGGTGAGCAGCACCAGTGACGTTACTGAATGCGCTGGGGCCGAAGTATCTGTTTCTAAATGTGAGTGCGGGGTTAAGAACGTCCGATTTGCACGAATCGGTTACGGGGTTGGACTTGGTCGACGTCTGTTGATGGTCGTATCTGCGGCTAGAGATCATAGCGTTGGAGGTGGTGGAGTGCTGACCCGCCGAAAAGCGATAGGTGCAGCCGGTCCACTCGGGAGGATGGCTGCAGTCCTCGATTTTCACCTGAACACCTTGATCCTCCGAGCATAGAGGTGGTAGGCCCAATGGCGGGCTACACGAATGCAGAGTGGTCAATCCCCTCCCATTTCCGGAGTGTTTGGTGGTCAGATCAACCTGTCCGAAGGAGCAACTGCTCGAGTTTTCGTACATCTCCGCACCTAGAAGGGGAGAGAAAGGCGAAAAACTTTATTAAAACCCACGTGGAGGGGGATAGAGACGACGAATCTTTCCCGCGGACTAACCGCATCACTTCGTACGGTTTTTCTATCGTGGGAACCATTTTCGGGAGTTTTAATTAGGTCGAAATTACTCCCGCGTTTTCCCACGCATCGCGAAATTCGCGTGACGCGTGCCACGTGCCGACACCCTCGATGGCGCATCCCGTTTGGCGTGCCACGTTGGACGAAGAGAAAATTTCGGGTGTCGCCGACGGCGATTCTTAAAGATGGCGGTTTATTTGCCGAGCGTATTCGACGGTGGCAGATACCATTCCGGTAACACCCAAGTCCGGACGTCCTGCGAGCCTCCGGTTACCGGAGAAGAGGAAATAAGTACCACGCTCTGGAAATCATATAAAGTACGGGAAAGGTTTTAGCGTCATTAGGAAGAAGGAAACTCGGATGAGAGAGTGAAGCTCGTAGTGAGGAAGTCGGTGTGTGCCTGAGGGGGAGGCCGTGCGTGCAACGGCAGGAAGGACCCTATCTATCACAGTCTATCAGCCGTGATTCAATCCTTCCTGTACCCCGGCAAAACGGAGGATGCGGGCAAAAGGGGAAGTAGTAGCTAAAGCGGCGCTCGCGGCCAGCATATTGACATGCGCTCGCATATTTTCGCACCCTCCTTTCCTTCCTTCCTTCTTCCAGAATTTCCTACAACGCCGCCAAACGTATATATGTTTACATACATAAAAAAATCACTCCCTACCTATGCTTCTTCCTTAAATTCCTTCCGGATATCCTCGGAATGGCGTCACTAAGGAGTTCACCAGCTAATCTGCCGCCTCCTAGTTGCAGTCACACATCAGTCCGAAAGGTTACGCACCCCTGCTTTTGTTCTGTGGCGTGTGGTTCGCTGGCGCCTGTTTCGATCGCTTCCTCGCGGCCCAACCGCTGGATTGTTTCTGCAGCCGCTGCTCTGCTCAGTCATGATGCTGTCCCGTTCCGTCTCCCTCGCTCTCCCCCGCTAATACATAATCTTAACTCACCGTGCAACTGGTGACTCGTATTTTTCCCATTCCTCTCGTTTAGCTCCACAGTTTACAGGTGAAGAAGGATTTACAGGGGCTCCGGCTCCGGATGAATTTCTTTATTATATAAAATGGAATTACTTCTCGGGATGTTTTCTCTAAAGGGTTTTTCGCTCGTAAATCCCCCTTCTTTTACCACTGCCCGGATTGCAATTTATTGCACGCGAGTCTGTGCAATCGCTCCTACGCCTTCATTAGCTAGTATTACTCGCCATAGACGAAGAGAAAGTTTATAATAATAATTTCCTGCAGCGACTGGTCGAGGTATAAAACCTTATCAGTCGACTGCGTGGAGTGTTGGGTAATGGACTGGACTGAGACGATAAAAGACTCATGGATTTTCTATGGCCCACTTCGTTCGATCATTAATTCTTCTACTGCAAATTGTACTTTCTATAAGTTAAAAAAAATTATATTTTCGGAAATAGATAAAATATTTTTAAAATATACGACTTAAACTTGACAGTTTACAGTTCTCTTTTTCGTAATTATCGGGGTATGAATGAGTAAAATGACAGTCGAGTGCTGGCTAGAATAGAGTGATGCTGCGTTACGACGTGTAAGCATTCCTTCTTCACTTGACGCATTAAAAAATCCAGTCTAGCATTGTTTAAGTGTTTTAAGTCATATGCCGAGTTTAATTTATTATGCATCTTGTGAAGAGCTTTATAAAAATATGCGATTTTTCTAGTAAATGCTCGGATTGATCCTCACTAGACGTATCTTTCGTACGCGATACGTGACGATCCTGCTCGAAATATCGATCAAATAAACGTTAAAGACACAAAATTTCGGATGAAAATATTAACAATTCGATTAAAGAATGCAAAAAATACTTTAAATTTAACCGATCTTTAAAGGAAATTAGTGTAAATTAAACATTAATTTACTAAATAATCGGTAAGTTAACAGTAGATGTCCGTCATTAAAAGGAGACACGGTCATTGCTCGTAGTCTGCCGGGAAAATAAAATGCCTAATCGAGTTTCAGGCAGTAGAAGAGATATGACGTCAAGAATAGTCGTGCCCCGAACATGTGACCCGTTCCCAGACAACAAATTGAGCGCGACAGCCTCCATCTCTAGCAGGGTTAATGTCGCTTTTCCTACTCTGTCAACAAACACGATAAGTCTCCGAAAGACTCCTTCACAAGATGCTCAGAAGGGAAGAGGAGGAGAAGGAGGAAGAGGAGGAAGAGGAGGAGGGAGGAAAAAAAATCATCAGAAGCGGAAACTCGGCACATTACCATTTCTGCTAGGAGTCGACCTTTCGCTTCTTCTGAAGTAACTATATCCACCAATATCGATTGCTGCAGTCTGGGGTGTTTCTCCAACGCTTAATCTTCTTCTGTTATGTAGTATGTTTTTCAAATTGCATCCATTATCATACGGGACAACTTTCCTCGTGCGATTATGCAGTTGTTTGGAGTGTAAACGTGCCATTTATACAACGAGAAAAATCTCGTTTTTTATGGCCTCGTAAATCCGCGTAACGCTTCCACACTCGTTTAGTCAAGGTTAAGTTACTTTTTTTAGACACGTGAAGGATCATTTTATATTAAAAAAAGGGAGGAGATCGTCGTTAATTTGACGGATAACACCGTCGTATGCAACAAACAAAAGGTAAAGGAGCAACGGAAACCCTGGGGGTTTGGTATTTAACCTGGAGGTTGAAGGCTGCGCGTGCTGAGTAACGTACGTTGGAAAGGGAGATGAAACATTGAGGACTGTATCTGCAACCCTAAAAGAGGAAATGGTATACATTTCCTGTTTCTGGCACAGATGAAACGAGTGAAAAGCGACATTAAGTCTCGGAAGTCAGATTGTAACAAAATACGTTACGTTTTCTGATACCAGGAAGTTGTAAAATGTTACTGCTATTTCAATTTATTTTTCCCGCTAAAGTGGGACAATTAGCAACACTGTTGTCAATAGCAGGTGTATAAGCTATTGCCACTCAAAATCTTTTCATTATTATACTCAAATTTATCCAGAGAATAGGATAATTATCATTCGATATCATTTTCCAATTACCCACCTGCAAAACCTGAAATTTTATAAGAGTCTCGGTTACCACTTTCGTCATCGTCCTCCGCATCACTCAATCCAAAAATTCCAGAGTTTATCTTAATTTCTTTGAATAAGTTAAGAGTGAGATGGATACGAGTTGTCGAAATCTCTCCTTCTGCTAATTTAATCTCAATTTGAGTCCCGAATTAATAAATTTTTGGGTGGAATTATTTGGAAAATGCACCCAAAGGTCGAGAGAACGAACTGGAAGCGACTTTCTACAGAAGATAATTAATTCAAGTCGCTTTAATAATTAAAAATTCCAAATTTTATAGCTGTACTTTTGTTTAATTAAGTTTATATTATTTTAACTTTATTACATGGAAGAAAATCTTAACAATCCCTGCTCTTAGGTAGAGCAGTGTGAAGTTTTAATCTGAATTTCACACGGCTTTACTATAGAGCAAGAGTAGAGATGCTTACTAAAGATAAGATAACTTCATCCCTGCTACATGATAGAAGAAGATACAGTTCTGTTCCATCTTTTATATCTTTATTATAGAAGTTGGAACAGAACTCTCCCCTCTCTCTCATAAGAGAAAGCAACATCCTTCTCCTCCTCATCTTCTTCCAAGAATTAAGTTAGAACAGGTTCCAGCTGTATAATATATATAAATATATATAAAAGCGGTCAAATTTCCTTTAAAAACTTCACTCTCGAACAGAAAAAAACCAAGAAAGTTAATTTAAATCCATTTTACTTACGAATAAAAACGTAGAAAAATTAATTTAACGATACAAACACGAATGATTTCAGGAAGGATCATGGATACGGAGGAGGAAAAATTGGAAAATTAATAACTTCCCCTAAAAAAGGGGGAGGGAGAAAACAAAATTGATGAAAGAATAAAGTAGCAAACGGCATTGGCAACAGGACAAGAAGAAGAAGAAAAAAAAAAAGAAAAAAAAAAAAGATGAAGTGGAAGTATTGGCGTCTAGCAGAAGAGGGGAGGAGGTAAAGCATAGGAGTGGCTAATGATAACAAGAGTGGCGCTATTGGTGGATTGGCGGATCGAAAGCCGGGTCAAAGAGGAAGTAACAGAAACTATGTGTTGGGGCGGGCAAAATTGATTATAGCGCCGACGTCCAAAACTTGTGTGTAAGTTTGTATGGCGTCGAGATACGGCTATCCAGCAGGGCATGGCCTACTGTATAATGGGTCTGAGTGCCGCTCTGCAAATTGCGGAAGTCGCCTGCAGGAAGCGGCGCTATGACCAGATCCCGTGCTTCTGGATTTACAGCGTAGTTGCATTATAAACAGGGCTGGTCCGTAACGGAGCGTGACGCCTCGTGCGTGATTAATATAAGCCGTCACGGTCTTTCACGTGTCGAAATTTTCGTCTCTCTCTCTCTCTCTCTCTCTCTCTTCCCCCCTTCTACGTTTCGTTTAAGCTGGAGAGAAGCGAAAACCTCAACAGATCTTTAAAAATGGTTTATTCAATTCATTTTTTTAAATGTTGTTTAGGTGATTTAATTGCGTTAGGCACTCCTTTGTTCTATGTGGACAAGGAGTGATTTATAGAGGTGCAAACTGATTAAAAATAGGCTTTAGGAAAGCCAATTCTTATTTTAATTTCAGAAATTTCAACTTATATAGAGAAGTGGCTTACAGAGATGTAGACTGAACAGTATGCTGTAGGTGTGCGAATTTAAGTGGAAATTGTAGACTTTTTCTTATTATTTCGGCTTTATTTAGAGGAGAAAGTGTTCCAACCGCTGTAGTTTAATGTAGGAAGGACGTCGCGAGTGTTTCACCACTTACGGCTTTGTTACGGGTGGAAAAGTATTGATTGTTCTAATTATTTTATCATATTTTATATGGAACGATTTAGAATT